CATGTGGAACTTACAAATAGGTTCAAACTTTTGGTCTACTCGAATTAAAGTGAAAACGAGCAACCAAGCCATGTTTCTTAATAAGAAGGTCACAATAAATTACTGCAATCGGATTTATTTCATGCATGTTTGACAGAATCTACTTTCAAATATTGTCATAACAAATAAAAAAATTTTTTTTTCACGTCAAATTAATAATTGATAGTAAATCTGCGTTTCCTATGTTTCTTTAATGACTACGATAAACAAACAAACACGAATTTCATGAAATAGAGTTTCCGTCAGCCATCAATCCGTCTATATACAATTTAATAGACAAAGGTCCCATTGTGTTATCGAAGCATCGATTATCACTATCTGATTATTTCGTTTTTATTAGATAGGGCCATCTCACAAAAATATCATGCCAATATCTATAAGCTTGTAAAATTAGTATAGAAAATTCCAAAAATCAATATCTACTGTTAGGTCCGGGATTATTGACCATCAAACTACGATTAATTATTTCTAATTTCTTACTGCCGTTTATCTTTGTTTTTTAATACGGAGGTCAATTTTCCCGTGTTCTTGATGTAACGTTCCCACAGTCATAGATAAACGGGTGCTACAAGTGGCTATAAACAAAAAAAACACAAACAAATAGAAGTACGGTATTACAAATTTTTTGAGTCACAAACAAGCAAAGTTGTCATTGTGTAATGAGAATCGATTGTTTCAGTACGTAGCACACACAAATATACAGTATCAATACAGTATTGAACATCTCCGTAAGTTTAGGTTTCTCTTTTTGAGACTCACGTTCGTTCGCGCTAAAAACGAAATAAAAAAAACAAGTCATCCCGATTATTCAGTAAATAAGTTAATAGGAGCCTTGTTCAAAATCCTTTACGGGGCATATCTCAAAGAAAAAGGCATTGTTAAAATCAACATACTACATTTAGTGGAAGCTTATCGATATATTATCAATATACTATGCTTTTATCATCTTTTCTTATCTATTGTTTGCGATAGGCGACGAGTCTGCCGTCCACTTTAATCAACACCCGAGCGACTGTGATTTTGAACGGAAAGTTTCTTTTTTAATTTGTATCACTATTTTTTTTTCATGATAGCCTTTTTATACTTTGATACGTTTTTTATGAAACAATGTTAGTACACAGAGTCTACAATCTAAAGATAAGAGTCTAGTAACCTAATCTTTACCTTTTGCAGTAGCATTCTCAGGAAAAACGATAACTATGCGGTATTGCCATTACACATACAGTATTGTTTGCCACATGATAGGGATTTATTTTGCACTCGTCATTCTTTCTCTGGATTATTCTATAATCTTTCTTTCAGTCAAATGACCAACCAACTACAGTATTTTGATTTCTATTTATCTATCTCAGAAACTTTATGTAAATTATGCTCTAGCGCTTTGTGCACTAACTAATTTCCGCTACGCAACCCCTTGAATCGTGTAATAATTTCATAATAAGTTTTCATATTACCTTCAGAAACAGATAGAAGTAAAGATGCTACGTCTTTTGTGAAAATATGTGCAGTACATCAACTATGCACAAACAAGTAAGCAATGTCATCAAGATGTTATAAAGAGAATACGTGATAATTAATGTAAAGAGGAAAACTTTATTGATTCCACTAAGACAATTAAAACTTTAAAAATCCTGTGAAAGTACCTTTATAATAACATTCCACCAAACACGTTTCCAAGATTATTTTCCTACACTTACTATAATATACCCAACAAATATAAGGTTTTCTATTAGCAAACAATAGAACTCTCGTCCATAACAATAAATTAACCAAGCAAGGTTTTAAATTAGAACGTTGACAACACAACAGTATTTGACGATAGCTACCATATACTTGCCTGTTTGAGTGAGTTATAAGATAATATAAAGTAGAAAAGGCACCAGATAATCGAATGCACTTATTATTTTGTGCCATACATCCTTAATAACAAAAATATCACGGAGAGTCCCACTGTAGATCTATTAACCAACAGTTGCAGAAAATAATTGTTAATCCTATATTACAAAAAAAAAAAAAAAATTTTTTTTATTGATACTGGAACCGAATAATTATCAGATTACCACTGTTGGCGAGTGAACTTTTGGGCCCGACCGCGTAACGGGATCTTTTGCGTCGCAATGTCAAAATTATTTATTTTATTTTTTGTAATAAAATCCGGTATTAAATAGGCCAAAATTGCCATTTTCAATGTGGCATACTCTTTGCATTCTTGAATTCAATCATTCAAAAATTTGGCATTGAGCTGAGCAAGATGATGATTTGATTCATTTGGATTTTTCAACTCTTGGGTTTTTTAACAAGTATGAATTTGGAATTATCATTTCGAAATAAAAGTCATACACCATTTGATTTTAAGGTTATTTTTCGAGAATGTTAATAGAATCGTCAGAATTCATTTTTCCTTTGCATACTATATTACAGATAAATCCAATTAAATGCTTACAAAGTGCTCCCATAATAACGGGCTTTTAAAAGTTGAACATAGATAATTTAAAGTGTAATTCTCCTTATGTTTCCTTTATATTAGTTGATGTCTAGAAAATTTTTTAATTTAAACGATTGATTCGCAGACAAAATAATTTTATTTCCTTCCGAATGTTTATTCATTAAGATATTTTTTAACGGTTTTCGTGAAATATTCAAATTAACAAATTTCAGTTAATGCTTTTAAAGAAATAAATCTATTTTTTATTGGTGCACCTCTGTATTGCCAAATTCCTGTTTGGGCGTAATAAATTCTTCAAATGTAAATTTTTTTTTTGCATTTTTTAAAAGAATGGAATTTTTCTTGTATATAAACCATTGGCTACACCTTTTTTATTATGTTAATTATTTATTATGTTAATTATTATGTTTTAACTAATGTATAACAAAAAAAAATTTTTTAAATTAATTTATATATGGTATAATTAAAATTATTTAGTGTATTTTCAAATCATAAGCAGAAAAGAATTCTCTTTTTATACTTTACTAGTGCAGTATAATTAACAAAGTCACGAATACTTGATTTCCAACTGTACATAAAATAACGAAGAAGTAACGAAAATCTCTTATTGTCGGCTCATCCACGATCTAGTCAATTATGGCGAGCGACAATTTATTTTCGACATCAAAAGTTGTATATACTGTATGAAAAAACAATTTATTAAGAAAAAAGATTTGCTTTTCTGAGTTAGGGGATTTTTAATTAATAAACTTACCTTTTCGAGTATTACTGCGGGAATTATGGCAGGGTTCACTGAAGAAGCATCGGGCAAAAAAAAAAGAAAAAGAACATTTGTTAATAAGAGAAAGTCAATTTATGTTACGCGAGTGCTGATCCCAGGAAAAAATGTACTCGCCAATAATAACATCTACATCATAAGCTTAATTCCTGGATGCACAAGCAAGTAATTTAAAATCAGGGGCTTGAGAATTAAAAAAGATCGTTCATGATCTCCATCACAGTACAGTACAGTATTTGTTTGGATTTTCGTGGATTTTTTTACCTGTATTCCATGTTCGTGATCAATCGTGAAAATCCTTTCTCACAAACATTTGAAATAAAAACGGGGTACAGAGTTAACCTTGGTCTTTGAATCTGTGATGTACAGTACAGTGCATTTGCACTCCTGAAGATCTCTCATATTATTTTTATACTGTAGTATTCGAGAGTCTGGATCAGTTTAAATTAATAAATTTATTTGAATATAAATTTTTTGGTATAAAAATTAATTGCTGTATCTGATCATGCTTGATCTTTAATAATTCGTAAATGATTACTTATTAATGTGAGTGATTGCTCAATATTCTCCAATTAAAAGCTTTGTACATGTTATTATGGGCAAGATTAACGTGTCGCGTAATCGCTACGTTCCAAAAGAGTATAAGGAAAAAACCGACAATGAGAGTGTAATGCCAGTAAATGCGTGCAAGAATATATCCAAGAAAAAAAAAATAGAGTAATCGAATAAGAAATAAATAATCTTTAATAACTAAGAGCAGTAGTAACAATCTCACCTTATAAACACATCTAATCTTAAATCAAGTGCAAGGCAGACCAAATTAAGCGACATGTACCGTTCATCCATGTACAGTATTCTATTTATTGCTTAAAATAAAATAAAAAAACTTCACGCAATTATACCACATTTATGCATTTAGAATAAAAATTACTTTTTGAAATTGTTCATGCTACCTACTCTGCTAATATAATACATATCAATAATAAAACACAAGACTTGTTGTAAGGCCGGTCAATGTTAATGATGAACGACAGTTAAACTATTGATTCACAAATACAGTATATTACTTACAGTATATACATTACATTCTTTGCACCCAAATTACAATGGGGGTATTTATAAACAATCAATTGACAATTAATAATAAGATAAATAGTTTCTATTGATTACTTTTATTTATGAATGCTGAGTATCATATAATATAAATGAATGATTTGACACTTCTGAAATTTTGTAATTTCAATAATCGTTGTTGCTGTACTCGCAAGTAACCACATTATTCCTGCCCTTTCCATTGTTTTGATAAATAATTTGATCAAACTAATATAAAAAGCATTACTTTAGCTAACATACAAAGTATTACCATGTTATCCCTCTTATAATTTATTTCATTCTCTGTCGAGTGCGTTCTCGACATTTAGTAATCAGTCACTTGATATTATAACGCGAAAATAAAAACATTATTTTAATTAAATAATTTTACATGATATTCCTACAATACCAGACCGAAAACATAAATCATTTATTAACAAACTCTTACATAGATAATAATAATGTAGAGCAATAACTATAATAGTAAACATTGCGAGAATACGATAACAATACTGTAAATACGATATAGAACTTATAATAGATAAATAAATAGAATGACAACTAATAACAAATATATTCATTTGAAATGTACTGATGATAAAAAATCTATCACCAGTAACTTTGTCCTACCATATTATTTCATAACTAATTTTTACCAGGCATCTCAATTACAATAGTCAAGGCTTCTTCTTTCTTGCAATCTTTTTTGCAATCTTTTTCCTGTTGATTTTTCAGAAATTCACTCCACGCTTGTGTGAGAATAAGAATAAACACGCAGCTTGGGAAAATAATGCTCCACGCCTTTTCGATTTTTGAGTTATCTGAAAAAAAAAATGAAAATATAAAGGATATAAGCAAATTGCTTTTAAGACAATATTTAAAAACGTCTATACCATAATCTCCTATTGTATCTTTCTCCCACATAAAATAACACCATGCAAGTGTTCCAATTTTGGTTAGCATTTCCTGAAAAATAGTGAGTTTCTGTACCCACGTTGGCGTTATTTCGTTGAAAAGAAGGTCAATAGAAGTCATTTTATCTGTTGTGACTTGTAACAGCAACACAATGCTTTCAGCCGATGAATTCATTCTTTCACTAGAAAATTGAAATAAAAAGTTAAATAGAATTTAAATGTGGATTAAATGCACCAACTTACGTTACATTTAAGACATAATATCCGAAAAGCGTGACTCCGATAATCAAAAGACGATGAATGACTAGTAGAATTTTCGCTTCTGGACGATATAATAATTCGAAGACATACCTTAAAATAGATTTGGGGTTACTAGCAATCTTTTATTTGCATACAATATCTTATTCTTATGATCACTTACAAATCCATGATAATCAAAGTGGCTAGCTGTAGAAGACGATAGTCACCATATGTCCAGTCTGCTCCGTAAAGTCGATGTATCATTATTAAAATTATGAAGCCAATGGTGGTGAATATAACCTCTAGTATATAGGCCACGCAACTTTTTATTATATGTGTATGTTTAATATTCGAGTTGGCCTGTCTTACTTGGGTTCGAGTATTTTCGCCATCACGTAAAAAATCATGAAAAGAATTACATGATTCGTTGCGAAAAAGTAATATGTCACTTGTCCGACTATAATTTATAATGCATATGATATTGATTAAGATTTAGTTGATTCGGGTGTTTAATTCAATCTCAGTTACCTTTGTCTTCACTTATCTTCTTTAACTGCTGATTATATTGCGGATCTAAAGAGTTCATTTTCAACGTTTCTTTCTTTCAGTCTTTTGGTTTGTGTTATTTGACTCCAAAAGGGCGTAGTTTGAGAGCTCAAAATAAGATCGTTGCTATATTATTGATGATATTTTCTACGTAACAATTTCTTTAAATTTACATATTGATTCAACGCCTTTTATATATGGGTAATTCTTTTTGAATGTGGATAGCCATATTAATAATAGTACTACAATATGTATTAATTTGTCATCTCATTTATATTCATTAGCTTTTATTATTTAACTGATATACAGTACGTATCCATCCCCACAGATCCGAATTCTTTAGGAAATAAAAATTCGATGTCATGCCCCGACGATCATTACAGTAAATAAACTTACGTAATCCTCAGAGATTTCTACTGTATGATGAATTTTAAGAATATCGATCATTCAATGTGGCGTAAACACGTAAAGTGAAGATTTTCCGATGTCGCAATACCGTTTATAATTTTTTGTATTTAGGATTATACAGTATATATATGTATATTTATTTATTTAAAAAAAAGATAATCTGATAACTACGTGATCATAAAGGATAGAGTTAACAATGACATGATAAATAAAGATCCGGTGAGAATATTTATTTACTTTACTAGGTAAATGGGGACCAAAAAATTATTTCAACTTTATTTTCATGTTTGCTATAATAGGTTGTTTGATTGAACACACTTAAAATTGAATTTTATTTTAAGCGAATATATTAAACTCTATGGTTTGTGTTAGGTTGACGTGTTATATGTCACGTGATCGTAAGCTTCACATGTCCAGATTAATAATGCGCCGGCCTATGAATTGCTAGCCGGTCAGGCTAAAGTACGATAAATAAAGATATTAATATATACTGTAAGGGTAAAAAAAGGGAGTGCTGTTCTCACATTCTTGAACCACGTATTGAGGTGTAGCTCTGTTCAAATTGGAACAGTGTAGTAGAAGGGTAATACGAGTATAAGAGACCTTATGTGCCAAGTATTGTTGACTAATGGCAATCTTATTGATCACGTGATCGATATATATCTGATCAAACGAAAATGTTTTCTTTTCTACTTCGATATTTATTATTTTCATATGTTGATTTATTTATATAATCCAATAAAAACAAAGCAAAAAAAAAAATCAAAAAGTTTTAAAAGTTAATTAAATAAGATTCTGGTTAAATAACAAATGTCTTATAACTTATTTTTAATTCTTAATTGCTAATACTATAATAATTATACAAATTTATAATAAACAATCAAAAAAAAACTCTTTCCCGTAAATCGATTTTTGGCAAAAAATTTCCTTTTATAGTAATAACCTTTAAAACAAACA